ATATATATATATATATATATATATATATATATATATATATATATACATATATATATATATATATATATATATATATATATATATATATATATATATATATATATATATATATATATATATATATATATTCAGGGCTGCCGAGAGGAGGGGGGCGGTAAATATCCAAATTAAAAAAAAATACCTAAAAAAATTAAGGTTGTTCATCTATAATATAGGGAAATTTTGATAAATAAGGTCGCCAATCAGGGTTGCTGTCCCAGGTGGCGTGACGGCTCTCAGCGGCCCTGTATGTATTTAATAATAATAACATATATATATATATATATATATATATATATATATATATACACATGTATATATATATACACATATTTATATATATATATATATATACATATATATATATATATATATATATATATATATATATATATATATATATATATATATATATATATATATATATATATATATATATATATATATATATATATATAATAATAGTAATATTTCTTTGCATTAAAAAAAATACATTAAAATACAAAAGGGTGAGACAGGTAATCACAAGATTACGCTTATGTAACACCTGAACAAAGGCAATTTAATATAATACGCAACTTTGTTGTAAGTCGTAAGTTTGTAGTTTTTTTTTTGAATATGAATAATGAAGCTGAATCGACAAAATGAATGTGAGCAGACAATGAATTCCATATTTTTACAATTCTTTTACTGAAAAAAATGTAAACGATTCTTTCACTGAAAAATGTAAAGAAATCGGAAGAAGGAAGGTTGACAAGGTTGTTTATAATTTTGTAGGTCATAAAAAGATCGAATTTGACTCTGCGGTGTTCAAGAGAATCGAGTTTTAAAACAGATAGTCTCGATGCGTAATCAGTGTAAGAAATATGGCATCTTTTACAGGTAATTCTGCTGAAGTATCTTTGGACGTTTTCGATGCAACGTATATCTTTAAGAAGGTAATTTTTGTCTCTCGTTTGGTACAATTTGCTACCGTCAGCAAACAGCTTTATTCGACAATCACCTTCAATACAAGAAACTACATCATTAATAAATAATAAGAATAAAGTCAGAACCAATACAGTTCCTTGGGGTATTCCACTCTTTACAGGTACATAGTTTGAGTAAGAATTACCAATGCAAACACATTGGGATCGGTCAGTTAAAAAGTTGGTAATCCAATTTAGAAGTTCGTACTTAATGCCGTAACAATTCAGTTTGTACACTAACTTAGAATGCAATACAGAGTCGAATGCCTTTTCGAAGTCAATATAGATAATATCAACTTCCTTTTTCTTGTTAACAGCTGAGGTCCATTTATTAAGAAAAGCTAACATCTGTGCACATGTAGATCTACGCTTTAAAAACCCAAATTGGTGAATAGAGATAAAGTTATTAAGTTGAAGGTACCTTTTTAAACTATTATTAATAATTGACTCCATAACTTTGCAACTAATACAAGTCATTGAAATAGGTCTAAAGTTCGTAGATAAGGAGGGATTACCTTTCTTGAAAATCGGACATACATATGCGGTTTTCCAAATATTCGGAATTACACCGGTTAACATTGACAACTCGAAAAGGAGAAAGAACGTGATGGCAATAATATTAGCAATCAATTTTAGGAATAAGGCAAGATACCCATCTGGTGATTTTGATGACTTTGGTGGAAGTTTTTGAAGAGCTGATAGAACAGAATTGCACAATATTCAAAAAATTATCGTGGGATGGTAGGTCTAGCACAGGTTTAGTACCGTTGTCAGAGACAAACACTGAAGCAAAAAAATTGTTCAGAAGGCTCGATTTTTCACAGTCATCAGTACAAAGGGAACCGTCGGGTCTTACAAGTGGCGCAACAGAATTTAAACAGTTAAATTTTGAATTGACGTAAGAATAAAACTGGGTTAAATTGGAGTTGTCTACAATGTATTTTTCTTGAGCAATACAATATATATATATGTATATATATATATATATATATATATATATATATATATATATATATATATATATATATATATATATATATATATATATATATATATATATATATATATATATATATATATATATATACATATATATATATAATAATAATAATTTAATTTCTAATTATAGCAATTATTTTTTTGATAGTTATATATTATATTGGTTTCTTATTACTTTTTAACAACATTTTATTATATTAAGAAGCTCTATGAAAATAGACCCTCTTTAGATTATAAAATATTGTTATAAAGCTGACGTATTTAAAAATAAACCAATTTGTCAGAAATTGATTAAAACATTCAGTACTTAAATAAAAAATAATAATTATTTGTAGTATCGGATAAATCATGCAAAATAATTGTTAAAAAAGTTTAAACAATGGTTTTTGCTTAAACACTATCCTTATATATTAGGGTGAATTGAAAAACAGACTTTTCTTTTTTTAAAATTATTATATAGTTCTAATATATATATCTATATATCATATAATATCTAAATGCGATATAATAAAACATCACTGGATTAACAAAAAATTTCAAAAAAAATATTTATAGAGGTGCTCCAAGTCCCTTGAACATTTATAAGGTTCCTAATATTCTGGGAAAAAAAAATCTTCAAAAGTAGGTCAACCTGGTACTCAAAGGTATACTTTTGAGTACCAGGTTGACCTACTTTTGTAGAACTTTTTTTTTCAAAAATATTAGGGACCGTGTAAATGTTCAATTGACTTAGGGCACCTCTAAAAATATTTTTTATTCCAAATTTTTTTAAGTCCAGTGATAATTATATCGTGTATATTTAGAGCTATTACAATACAGTTTTGAAAAATTACTGTTCTTCAATGCACCCAATTATATATGCAACTAGGGCTATAAATGATAAAAATCTTTCTTTAAGAAAAATTGTTATCTTAACTAGAGATTGAAACATTACTTTATGTAACTATAAAAAAAAGTAATTGCTTAAAAGACACAAATGTTAAAAGTTAGTCATCTGCTGTTATTGACCTCATTTTATGGTATGGTTATGATTCAAACCATATTATGGTTTGAAAGTTATCTTACTAACCTTAAACAGTTTGTTTACAATAAAGATTCTATATCTCTTTTATAAATAAATATAACGTGTGGTGTTCCACAAGGAATACCACATCTATATCCACATCTATAGAAACATCACATCAATCTTACAATCTTATTACCCCTTTTGGTCGTAAAAGCAAAGACCAGTTTTTTGTTTCTTGCCGAGGTCCTTATCTCTGGAACAAAATTGTCTGACCAAACTTTGATTTTTCCACCCAACTGACTTTTGCTTCATTCAAACAGAAACTAAAAAAAAAAACATTATTTTTAATTGAAAATATATTGATTTATTTTTAATTGCTTTTTGTTGTTGTTGTTGAGGTTGTTGTTGTTGTTGTCTTATTTTGTATATTATTTGGCTTAACATTTTATCTTGGCTTTTTAACATTTTATCTTGGTTTTTAAATATTTTTGCATGAAGGTGTATTATTTTACTACAGACATTGTATTTTTATTAAAAATTAACCATATATTGTAAAGGGCTTCAAGATCCTCATGATCTTCTAGAAGTCCTGTCGTTACTAATGTAAAAATTGTAAAATATATTTAGTTATTGTAATATTAAATGGCAAAATATTAAAAAAAAAAATTATATTTATTTAATTAGTTCTTATTTGTACTAAAGGGAAGTTAAAAAGGTTTATTTTGCAGAAACTAAAACTAAAAAATTTTCTTTTTTACTTAAAAAAAATGTTCTAAATATGTCTATTATGCATTTCATTTATACTTATGATGGTTATATTCACTGGCGTGGGAACAGGAGGAGGATAGTGGGGGAGGAGGGAGCAGAGGGGGCGATAGACCCCCAACTAAAACACTGGGAGGGGGGACACTGCATTTAGCTCCCCCGCTACGTTAGATTATTAAGAATTTTCGTAGCGGACTCGTGTGGCGCTCGGGCATTTGAGTTGTTTTAGTTGGTTGTGTTGGTGTTAGATTGGTATTCAATAATTAAATTATTCCTATAAGTTTTTGTTTGTTAAGATCATTGTTTGTTATTGGGTTATCTTTCTTTCGACATCAGCATACATGCCCAATATCATTTGGTTAATATCAATGGTTTTGAAGAACTTTGACTAGACTACTTAAAGGTTCTTTGACTAGTTCCTTGTTTTTCTTTGTTGTTGACTCTTAAAGTTTCACAATTGAAAAAACTCGATTCTCTTTGTTTTTTTGTCTTTTTTTCAAAGGTGTTACTCGTTGCTATTATAACCCCCAAAAAAAATGTATCAAATTTTAAAACGGTGCATAGTGGGTCAAAATCATTATTAGCTGGACGAAAGTAATAACTTTTAAAATATTTTTTGGATTTTCTCCATAATTACCAGGTGGAGGATATTTAATACCGCAAATTTAGTGGTTTCATTATATTGTTTATTTAGTTGCTATGGATATTGTTGCACTGTTGCTATACTCCATAGGAACAGTGCATTTTTTTATATTTATCTAAATTAAGAGTCTCATAAAACGTCAAATATATAAACTAAACTGATATTAATGCAGCAATGCTATTTTATGAATTTGAAAGATAACAAAAACAAAAAATTATTAATTTTGTTGTTGCTATGCAATTTTGGGCTCTTAAAAGTTATTATTACTTTTTTTTTGAAAGTTTTGCTTAACTCAAAATTTCTTTAAAAAAATTAAATAAATATTTAAAAGCAATTCTTAACTCTAAGGGTTTATAGGAGCAGTTAATTAAATTTGAATTAATTGTATCTATGTAGTTAAATTGTCCTTAGCAACCAAATAAAAATCAACAAGCTTTTATACAATTAAAGCTAGAGAAAACTTTATAAAGTTTTTATAAACTTTATAAAGTATATGTAGAAATACAAACAAATTTGTATATTCACAAGAAACATTTACATAACATAAATTATTTTATATAATTAATAAATACTAATAAAGTAAACACCACCTTGAATACCAACTAAATTCAAAACTATGCAGTTGCAAATAACAATTAGTCAAAAATTGGAACCTCTTTGAGTACATAAAGAACACCAGTGAGAAGAGCGTTCTTAGCAGGATAGGGTTTTCTCAAACTACATAGCAAAGGGTCAAAATAATATATTAGTTGCCTTTGTTAATCTTCATTTGTTTTGGAACATGAACCCATTTCGAAAAATGGTTAAAAAAACTTCTTAAAGTTTTTATTTTATTCTTCTTGTGCCTCACTTGAACAATTACTTCATCACGAAGCCATATTTTATTTTTCTGTTTTTGCTATTGAATAATTTTCTTTTCAAATAGTATCCTTGTAGCCGACTTTCTCACTGTCAATTTATAACTAATTTTTAGAAGACTTACTATGCTTTTAATCCAAGCATGAAGAGTTAAAAGACCAAAACAGAGACCTATCTCTGTCAATAACATATTTTAAGCTGCATTAATATCATTCACTTTTGTTGGATTGTATTTACAAACTGAACTACACTGAGAAGATGTAGCTGCTATAGATAATGCTGTAGCAACTTAGTCGTTCACCATCATTATTTCAATTTTATGAAGTTTAAATGAGTTTTCACAACATATGATGACCAACTTTCAATTGAATTAAATTGAATTGTTTATAGATGGATTTTCTTATTTTAAAACTTCAATTGCTTCTTTTTTAAATGTGAATCTTATTGGTCTACAATATAGAGTTGATGATGGATATGGATTAGACCTAAAAAAAATTTTTTTTCCATTAATGTATCCAGATAACTGAAATGGAACAAAACAAGAAATAAATAAACTAGCTCCTAATAGATTTCTGTTTTCTTTCTCAACTGTTACCTGAGTATGAACGCTTCGGTTAGTTGATCCTTCTAACCCAATTTAGAATGAAATGTTTGCTTTTCAAGATCATTCATGGAACCAATAACTTGTTTCTGCAAATGTACTAAGTGTATTGCTGTATGATTGACTAATACTTGATAGTTTATTTCTGAAAAAAAATCATTAACAGCCTATAATGTTTGTTCAGGAAGACATGGTTCTTTACCAGCATGAACATTATTGTATACAGAATAGAGATTGCAACGTTTAGTCACAGCATTATTTCTCAAGTGTTGGTAATCAGATTAGTTCATATTATTATCTAAGAGTGCTAGAGCTCTATTTATAGTGCTTTAAGCATGTTCTCAATCAGAAAGTTGCTTTACAGGTAAACTTCCAACTACTTTCACATCCTTTCTCCTGCCATCTTTAAAAAGATTACAGCAATTAGTTCATTTAAAGAACTAGTTAATTAGTTTATAGTTGCTACTATACGACTCTTCATCTTATTTGATGAATTCTCAAATGATGTTATAGGCCTACCACTATTTAATAGTCTTTCTTTTAGATTGGAATTATATATATATATATATATATAATATATATATATATATATATATATATATATATATATATATATATATATATATATATATATATATATATATATATATATATATATATATATATATGTATATATATATACATATATATATATATATATATACATATATATATATATATATATATATACATATATATATATATATATATATATATATATATATATATATATATATATATATAAATATATATACATATATATATATATACATATATATATATATATATATATATATATATATATATATATATATATATATATATATATATATATACATATGTATATATATATATATATATATATAAATATGTATACATATATATATATATATATATATACATATATATATATATATATATATATATATATATATATACATATATATATATATATATATATATATATATATATATATATATATATATATATATATATATACATATGCACTCTGATGTCATACTGAAATAGCCTGCTGCCAGGGCTTCAGTTAATACATTGACTAATAAATAGCCTGATTTGAAGTGGAGTGCTGCTACATCGACTGAGGGTTTGGGATAGTGTAGAGATCTTTTCTTTCATTAGTCTTCTCTTTTTTTTTCTCCTCCTGAAAACGCCATATGCTATAAAGATAAGCAAAACTAGTGAGCAAATATTTATCTAAACAAGCTATAAAAGATAATTAACAAAAACATTTGGTCAACATACCTAAAATTTGTTCTACACTTTTGCGTTTTGAAAAACACCATTTTCTTACTTTATCACTTTTTTTTTTGTTGCAAAATCTATATTGCAAAATGATATATCATTATCAAGATCTTGTACTCCCATAAATAAAATATTCACTTGGAAAAAAAGTACATGGGTAAAATAGCTAACAAAAATAAAATAGCAAATTGAAAAAATGTTTAAACTTTTTTATTTTAAATTTCCATCAAAGATTACTTCATTAATTTCTTTAGTATTTGAGGCCTAAGATATATGTAGTATATAGTAAATATGTATGTAAATATTTAAAGTGCATCATAAAATATTGGCAAAGTTTGAGCTACCTTTTTTTTTTAGATAATGAACTTAGAAAAACCTTACAAAACTGAATGTGGTACAGTAAAATTAAAGTACTTTGATCGTTACTCCATGCATACATGCTGGCTTGAGCAACTTACAGACTATGTTAATAAAATGTGTCATTGCAAAGATTTTTTTATGCCTGGTTAGTTGTTTTATTTGGTATTTTTATTTTTTTAGGCAGATGTTGTGTTTTATTTGTAAAGTAGATTTTTTGTTTATACTCTAAAAAGTATTGGTTTTGCAATAATCAAATAAAAATATAAATCAAAAAGGATGTAAAAAAGAGTTATAAAAAATACCTTTTTTTTTTTGTAAGAATTATAATTATAGCAGAAATTTTTACCTGGAAAAATAAATTGCATAGCAAAGAGGTTCATATTTTTATGGAATCTAAAAGAAATTCAAAAAAAAAGTTGCTTTTTCAAAATTTGCTTTCTAATTAAAATAAAATCATCAGGTGTCTGATTGTTCTGTTGCAGAATAAACATAAACCTGATAATCGTGTATGGTTTATTAATAAATATGCTTAAATCTTTATAAAATTTATTACTGTAGTATCAAAATTTATTTAGCTTTGTTTGTTTTTTGCTTTTTTTTTAAAACATCTTTACTTCCAAATAGACTGCTAGCAACCACTATTAGAGCTGGAAGTTACTGGAAGAGAAAAGATAAAGTTTTTAAAGCAAGATAATGATTAACAGACAACTTAAAAGATTGCAAATTATACGAATCAGGAAGACAAGATAAAAGATGTCAATTCCAAAGAACTGATGGTCGAGGAAAAAAACTTGACAAATAAGAATTTTTAGAGCACTTAGCAACAGTAACAGTAAAAGGATGAGGCTTAATTGAATGGTGAGTATTATGAGAATGAATTTTAGTAGATGGAAAAAGAGATGCTAGCACTTTAATGTAGCACCTGTTAATGTATTTATAGAAAAGAGACAGAAACAACATTACGACATTGTGACAACAGTTTAAGGTTGGCTGTAAGAGCAGGTCCAACTATGTTTACAATGCATTTTTGCACTTTTTCTAAAAGAGAAAGGGCATCATATAAAGATTAACTCCAGATTTGGCAACAGCATTCCATCAAAGAACATATTAGAGATTTATAGAGATGAAGAATAGAATATGGAGTAAGAAAGTGGTGAGTATCATAAGGAGATGAAATTTTAGCAGCTGCTAATTTTGCAATGAACTTGATGGTTTCCAAGAAAGATTTAATGTAAGAGTTAACGCTAAAAGACAAAGGGTAGATGGCTCATCGAATCCATTACCATTTATAAATATAGGGAAGTCTAGATTATTGAGATGAATGGTTAACTGAAAAAAAATTAAGTTTTATCTGAATTAAACCAGCCACTAAAAGCTCCATGCTTTAAAAGATGAGAGATCCTTTTCAAGCTCATTTATCCTCTCCAAGCAATCAGAAAGTGTTAAAGAATAAATGGTAGTATCATCATTGAATAATGCCACCTTATATTTAAGAATTTTTGGGAGGACGTTAATGTAAGTAAAAAAAAGTTAAAGACCAAGGATAGAACATTGAAGAACCCATAAAGTCACAGGAAATAAAGGAAAGTGCTGCCCATCGAAAATAACTTTTACACTATGATTGGTAAGGAATGATTTAATAGTCTTAAAGTAACAACCTGATACACCATAAGAAGATATTTCATGGAGAATACCAGCATGCCAAACTTTATCAAAAGACCTAGAAATGTTGAGAGCAATAGCCCTAACTAGTGATTGACCGAAATTTGGTTTGGCATTTTTTAATAAAATATGCTTAACTGACGTCAGCATATTTTATTAAAAAATGGCCCCCAGGTTTTGGTTGTCACATTATCACCGTCATCCCAATTGAGAACCACATCACCATTTCTCAACTCCTGTTGAACCCTAGCCTTGCTTATTTCGAGTGACTCTCTGATTTTCCGAGTTCGATATTCTGGGGCTACAGATAATGTTTTGGGGTGCAACCAATCAAACTTACCATGGCATTTTTTAGAATGCTCAGTTGCACCTGAACTGGACCATTTTCCTTTTAAGCTGTTTTCTTGGTGTTCAATACATCTCGATATCACCTTCTTTTTAGTTTCATCAATGTATTCCGAACCGCATGAACATTTTAGTTGGTATACGCCAGGGTCTGTGTTTAGTGGTAGTTTAGTTTTATTGTTGCAGAAAATATTTTTTAAATTGGGAGTTGATTAACCTTTATGTTTTGCTTTCGAAATTCTTTACAAAGTTTTTGACCAACAATTGGTATCCAAGGTAGTTTTATAAAGAGTTGGGTATCTATTGGTTGAAATGTGGTGTTTTTTGAACCTTTTTTTAAATAGTCTATAGTAATATTATTTAGAATGTTCTTGCTGTGACCATTTTCAACAAAGATGTCTATTAGAAAATCAATTTCTTTTTGAAGGTGTTTTTGAGAGCATATTCTTTTAGCACGACATAAAAATCCTTTGAAAACGCCAATAATACTGTTAGGATTAATGTTCGAGTTAGGTTTAAGTTGAACATTTGTAATAGCTTCTTTTTTATGTATTTGAAATTCATAAGTTCTTGAGCCTGTGTTTGTAATGTTAATATCTAGGAAATTGAGTTGTTTGAGGTTGTTTTCAAGTTCCACTGTGTATTTTATGGCAGGATGTTGTTCATTAAGGATGTTCAGGAACATTTGTTGTTGCTTTATTGAAGCAAAGCGAGCATGACAATCATCTACATATCTCTTGTAAGTTTTTGGTTCAGATGTATGAATATTTGCTATGTTTAGGGCTTTTCTTTCTATATTTTGTAAAAACGCTTCCACCCTAACAACCATTGAAGATAAACCTATAGGACCTGAATTAGGTATTATTCGGATATTGTTTTCATATAAAAAATAGCATATACTTAATGAAAGTTCAATTAATTGATGTATGTCTGCAAGAGTAAGTTTAGTTCAAGTTTTTAAGTCATCAATGTCAGTGTTCAATATATCAATAATAAGCGGAATTGCTTCGTCAATGGGTATGGATGGATATAAATTGACTATATCAAATGAAACTTGAACTTTGTTAGGATCTATTATCCATTGCTTAGCTTCATTTACAAAACTATTAGAATTCATAAGTCTACTTTTATTTTTGTTCAGAGTCGGTTGAATAATTTTAACTAGATAATCAGATGTTCCATAAGGTGGTGTGTTAATTGTTGATACAACAGGGCGCATTCTTCATTAATTGTTGATACAACAGGGCGTGTTCTGGTAAGTTTGATTGGTTGCACCCCAAAACATTATCTGTAGCCCCAGAATATTGAACTCAGAAAATTAGAGAGTCACTCAAAATAAGCAAGGCTAGGGTTCAACAGGAGTTGAGAAATAGTAACGTGGTTGTCAATCGGGATGACAGTGATAATGTAACAACCAAAACCTGGGGGCCATTTTTTAATAAAATCTGCTGATGTCAGTTATTTGAAAAGTTTTTTCTGTATTATATTTTGGCTTTTTAATGTTATCTTTTTAACAGTTTGCTTTTACTATAACGGTTTTTGTAACTATTCTATTATACCTGATGACGCTAATCACAATAGTTTAGCGAAATATCGAAATAATTATATATTAAAGTAAAAATATATATATATTTAAAAAAAAGTTTATATGCAGCCGTATTTATTGAATTCTAACCATATATATATATATATATATATATATATATATATATATATATATATATATATATATATATAATATATATATATATATATATATATATATATATATATATATATATATATATATATATATATATATATATATATATAGTTAAGTTAACAACAATATTAATACAAATTAATATAATTAATAATTAATATAATTAACAAAGAAGTTGTTAATTATATTTTTAATCCTTGCTCTTGACTCAAACTAGCATCATTAAAAAACTCATCTGGTTAAGTTTTTCGATCATATTTTAATAAAATGAATTCAAACCGAAAAACAAGTTTAGTGTGGAAATACTTCATAATTGAAGCAAACAATCCAAGAATGGTTCAGTGCAAAATCTGCAACAGCAAAGTTTCAAGAGGGTCTGACGACCCAAAAAAAAAGGATTAAGTGGACTCACGTCACACCTGAAGAATCATCATCCTGACATCAAACTTACGCCCAAAAAAGCAGAAAATTCAAAGGCAAATGAAGAAACTGACTTAAATTCCAACAAAAGAAAGACAGTTACATTCTTCAACATACAATTAAAAAAACAAAGAACTGACATGTTACAATCTACGATTCCAAACTGGGTTCAAGCTTCTTCAAAAAATAACTCTAATTCTGAAAAAGGCCAAAAATTTCACAAGTCAATTTTTGAAATGATGATTCTTGACCTCCAACCATGGTTTATTGTCAATGATTCTGGGTTTTTGAGGCACCATGCTTTTATTGCTCCAAATTACAAAATTGCTAGCGAAAAATACTACAGAAGTTTACTGGATCCGACTTATGAAAAAATTAAAGTTGCTCTCAAGGAAAAGCTGGTTCAATCAGAAGCTGAAAATGTGTCCGTCTGCCTTGATGCATGGTCATTATTTCAACATGGCTATCTGGGAATGACTGTTCACTTTATTTCTAAAGACTGGAACCGTGTCAAATTCTGCATCTCTTGTTCTCCATTTGATGAAAGTCATACTGCAATAAACATTTTCAAAGAGATTAAAGCAGCAGCAGAGGAGTGGGAAATTTCTTCAAAAATTGGAGTTTGTTTAAGAGACAATGCAGCAAATGTAAAAGCAGCCTTCAATGAGCCAAGCTGTAATTATAAGTCAGCTGGATGCCTTAACCACTCTCTTCAACTTGTGATAAAAAAAGAACTATTTTCAGATCCTACCATCAACAAACTGATTGAAAAGAGTCGAAAACTTTCTTCATACGCATCCCATTCTACTGGTTTCTACACTAAACTTTACGGACAGCAAGAAATCCAAATGGATAGAAAAGACAGACTTGGCTTAAAAAACGATGCTGCCACAAGATGGAACTCTACCTATTACATGCTTGAGCAAATTTTACACCTGAAACCAGCCATTGCTGCAAACTTACTCAAATTTCCTTCAGTGGAAATTGAATTTTTTGTCCAAGATTGGAGCCTCTAT